CAACAAACCGATCAAATCCCTAAAAACCGGTCAAATTATTTTCCAGTAGCCAGTCAAATCTCCTCTCAAACCGGTTCAATGACAATTTTTCGGTGCGGCCTTGGCCATGGTGTAAATAACGCATCCCATGGATGCTTTTGGTTCATGCATCCCAGAGAAAACCTAGCCGGAGAAGTCTGGGACTGGGGGCCGGGGGGTTTGGGGGGGGGGGGACGGCTGTGCAGGGAGTGGAAGTTGCGCGTGCGATTTGTCCAGCGGCTCAAGAGCTCTAGGCAAAGAAAGAGGGAGAGAGAAATAAAGAAAGAAAGAAAGAAAGAAAGAGAGAGATATAGAGAGAGAGAGGCAGAAGGCTTCTAGAAATATGTCAGGCAGCAAGTAAGTGTTTAAACTAGACTAGGAATCCGACCCCTGAGCATGGGCTTAGTCCTTTTGGTTTCCATTTGACACCATGCAAAAGGGTCTTTCTTATGTTTGGAACACATATGAATTTGGGCCAGCAAGTTGCTCGGGCCAGCTTCTTCTTGCAACTTCAAGTCGGTGGGAATTTCTCACAGTCAGTGTGTCCAGCGCATGACACTTTGACACAGTAGCCCAAGGCCAGTGACCCAATTTGTGTTTTGCATTGTTTATCCGGCGCGTTTGGCCATGGGCTGACTTTCAGCGGTCACGAGTGCATGATTGTCAGCCTTGATCTCAAGTTGTGCGACTTGTTTTTTTCTCACTCCTTTGCCTCGGGTCAAACATAATCCCTTCCCCCTATTAATAAATACGGGTCCCTCCCCCAATTATAAAAGACACCCTCCCAAAAAAATAGTTTGTTAATTGGGGTTTTCGGAATTGTTTTTTTTGCTTTTCCAACAATGTGAGGGTTCACATAGGATTTGGAGGAAATGGGTTGAATTGTAAGGTCCGCGAGTAAGCGGTTTAAGAAGGAAATTTTATGTATCATTCTATTTGTTTTTCAGTTACCTGTTGTTTGCTTGCAGCCAGGCAGGTTAGGTAATTAATTAGCCAGCATGTACGGGAGAGAGACAGTTGCAGCTAGACAGCTTTTGGGGACATGTTTTCTTTTGAGGGACACCCCAATAGTTAAAGGACCCACATTTTTTAAAAGTGGGGCTGGAAGCTTGTTAAAAGTGCCCCCTAATAAGGATTCCAAGACTTTAGTAAGGGTTTAGTATTGGCTCAATTAAAAATCAATTGTGCGGAGTGGAAATCTGGTCCCGGGCCCGGATTTCGATTTTCTATTAATTGGGGTCATTCATTAATAGGGGGAACGGATTAGGGACCTTTTTGGGACCTTTGACATCCACCGTTTTGACAACATAATACCTTTGCCTACCTTCTCAGGTTTGCGATCGCGTGACCTCGCCCAACCGCTGGAGCCTCGCATTGGTGCCCTTAAATAGCAAAGAGCCCATATCGGGGTGTGTTGTTGTGAGGGTATTGACTCTTGAGGGTGGTCTTGGGGGTTGGCTTAGGGAAGCCCACTTTGCGAGGCACCCCTATTTTGAGACACCAAAGACCATCTAAAACCGCAAGCGGAATGTGCGATGCAGAGATTTCAGTGACCCATCAGGCGAACCAGCCAGATATCAGCAATCCCAATCAGCTAATCTAATCTAGTGGCAACAGCTTGGTCGGGCGCTTATGAATTGTGGTCACAAACGACCGAGCGTGTGCCTGTGCAGGTCTTTTCGACAAGTCAGACAGCCTGTGTTTGAAGCAGACGCAACGTTGCCAGATGTGAGGCTTGGATGGAAGCGGACTTCCCGTCGGTGATCCACTTGAATGTGGCCAGTGCCCCGGGCAACAATCCGGCTATCTAGGAGGGAACGATATTTGGTATTGCGAGAGCTGTGGCAACATGGATGTCCGTTGGCAAAAACACAAGTCCTGCAAGGGAGTCCCCAATACCCACATTAAACCTTTTGCCTTCACGACAACCTGGGCGTATCAAGCGGCAGGATGGGAAGCCCTTGTCTATTGGATATGGTTGCACCTCTTGAAAGAGCTATGTGTGTGTGTGTGGGTGTGTTTTGGCTCCACCCAGCACTGGCGGCACTGGTTCGGTGTTTTTTCCGTCTCAAAACGGGTTGGCTGAGAACTGATACATCATCAACTGTTATTGAAATATGTTGTCTAAGATTTCCGCCAACGGGGAGCAAGAACAAGAGTGTTGTTCCATGACCACTGGGTAAGTAGAGTTCAGATGATGCGCATGACTCTCACCAGCCAACGAGCTGGCAAGCAGGTCCTGTCATTTAGCAGACTTAGATGACCCAGATGTCTTGAGACTAAGTAACGTGTTTTGCCATAGTGTGACTGCAGATTTGATATTGTGGAGATGAGACACAGCTATATATATATATACCTAGCTACATGCATGATTAGTAAAAGTATTCCCGTCGCCAAGCAATGCGTGGAATCCTGCAAAGTGAAAACATGTATGGGTGCGTTTGTTTTTTCCCAGTTGCGCGGGGGATACATGGGCGAACTG